TTGCGACTTCCATAGCCACCGGTGTTGCTTCCAGCCACTAGCTAGCGGCTTCCATAGCCACCGGTGTTGCTTCCAGCCTCTAGCAAGCGGCTTCCATAGCCACCGTTGTTGCTTCCTGCCACTAGATTGCAACTTCCATCGCCACTGGTTTTCTTTCAGGTAGCTAACTTCATAATCTAGACCAAAATTAAGCTCCTCAGCTAAGTTGTAGAAAATTGTTTCTTATTTGCATTTCCCATAGATCAGTATGACGTACGTCTTGTTGGAGGTGACAGTGATCTAGAAGGTCGAGTGGAGGTGTTTGTGGATGGTGCTTGGGGAACAGTCTGTGATGATGACTGGGATTTGAAAGATGCTAAAGTTGCTTGTCATCAACTTGGCTTTTTCACTGCTAAATCTGCCCTGACTAATGCACACTTTGGAAGAGGCAGTGGACCCATCGTGTATGATGAAGTGAGATGTGAAGGGGATGAAAGGAAGTTACAGTTTTGTCCCCTGTCAACTAGCCACAACTGTAACCATGATGAAGATGCTGGAGTAGTATGTGCTGGAATGGACCCAGCAGACATGGGTAAATGTATTTTTTTCCGGAAATTTTAATTCACCGTGATAGTTGGGAAGGTTTCAGCCAGAGTTGTAAAGAGTCACTTATTCCTGTGACTCAAGTCAAGTCGAGTCATTGACTTGAGTCATTACAGCTCTGGGTTAAGGAACGTACAGCTTCTGCTTACTGTTCAGTTAAGGTGTGATGGATTTTGATTGATCCAGAGGTTTCCCTGAACAAATATTCAGGATCCTTTTAATAGAATGAAAGAAATCAGATATATACATGTAAGTAGCTGTTCAGAATTCCTATGCCAAAATCCAATTTTTGGGTCCTTGCCTTGAAGTGACACTTGTTTCCATTTTTAATGCAGCTTTTTTTTCTTGTTTTGTTCAATTTCATTCTGCATTTTCATTTAGCTTCTGTACCAGTACGTCTTGTTGGAGGTGACAATGATCTAGAAGGTCGAGTGGAGGTGTTTGTGGATGGTGTTTGGGGAACAGTCTGTGATGATGACTGGGATTTGAAAGATGCTCAAGTTGTTTGTCGTCAACTTGGCTTTTTCACTGCTAAATCTGCCCTGACTAATGCCCACTTTGGAAGAGGCAGTGGACCCATCGTGTATGATGAAGTGAGATGTGAAGGGGATGAAAGCAGGTTACAGTTTTGTCCCCTGTCAACTAGCCACAACTGTAACCATGGTGAAGATGCTGGAGTAGTGTGTGCTGGAACGGACCCAGTAGACGTGGGTAAATGTAGTTTCTGGAAACTTGAATTCACCAGGAAGTTGGGAAGGTTGCAGCCAGAGTTGTAACAAGTCATTTATTCCTGTGACTTGAGTCGAGTCATGGAATTGAGTCATTACAACTCTGAGCAAAATTGATCAAGGACCAAAGTTAACCATAGTTAAGCTAACTCTGATCGAACACACACCAGTCGACGTTGGTTGGACTAGTCCAGTCAACTATTCGCGACCAGCCTATCGAGGTTGGTTGCATAGTTGGTTGCCATAAACCGTTTGTAATAGAGAGGACCAGTTGTAAGAAAAATACTGGAAAAACAGTATGTCACTAGTAAATGACCATTTTCACTTTTACTTTTGCTTTTTGCCCTTCCTGTGGCCACCTTTGCTCCCCTTTGGCCTAATGACCTGACAAAGGTTGACTAGGGTTGTTCACACTTCAACTTCACTGCATCTGCACTAGGTAATGTGAGAAACCAACCACTTGATAACTAGTGGTCCTTGATAGAACTGTCCCTGCGGTTTTAGCTGAGTTCAGGAGGGTACAGCATATGCTTACTGTTCATGTAAGGTGTACGTTTGGTTGATTGTGATGGATTTTGAAAAATCCAGAAGTTTCCCAGAACAAATGATTAGGATGATTCTAGAATTAAAGAAATCAGCCAAAGTAGCTCTGCAGAATTCATGAAAACTGAAAAAGATTTGTACCTATTCAGGTCTACTAGTTCCCCTGTGCATGTTTGTCTTGGCCCAGAAGTGGCATTTCTTTCAATTACAATTTTGTTCTTGTATTCTCCTGTTTATTTTGCATTTTCATTTACATGTACCTACCATACCAGTACGTCTTGTTGGAGGAGACAATGATCTAGAAGGTCGAGTGGAGGTGTTTGTGGATGGTGTTTGGGGAACAGTCTGTGATGATGACTGGGATTTGAAAGATGCTCAAGTTGTTTGTCGTCAACTTGGCTTTTTCACTGCTAAATCTGCCCTGACTAATGCCCACTTTGGAAGAGGCAGTGGACCCATCGTGTATGATGAAGTGAGATGTGGCGGGGATGAAAGCAGGTTACAGTTTTGTCGCCTGTCAACTAGCCACAACTGTAACCATGGTGAAGATGCTGGAGTAGTATGTGCTGGAATGGATCCAACTCAGCTAGGTATAGGTACTGGATTTGTAGTTTCAAGTAACTATGACCCTAGCCCTGAACCTTAAAAAAAGGGGGGGGCACATTGTGTATGGTATACACTTCAGAAGTTTTTCAGTAAATGATACAAAATGCCCATTTTTCCCAAGACAGATCAACAAAAATGTCAACTGTTCCCGTTGACATTTAAACCCCTTCGCTACGGAGGACTGCTACTACCGCACCGTTGTGCGAGGATTGGTGCATACCACACATTCAGTCTATTCACCATGCAGCTGCTGGTTCAATGGGGCCTGCTGCTGGACAAAGCCCTCCATTCAGGGCACATCACAGCCCAGCAGTCACGGTCAAAATAATCCCGCTGTGAAAGGGTTAAATGCACATAGGCCAACACCCTGGAATCCATGAACACAATTAAATGAATGAGTGAAACAAAATAAATGCACCAAATGGCTCACTGCCTTTGAAACGTCACCAATGTACTCATTATGAATGTCTTTACACTCTTGTCAAGTTTCAAGAACATCAGGTCAGTGGCTAAGCCAAGGGGAGGGGGAGGTGGTAAGTACCCCCTGTGGAAGCTAGTCCCCTCTTGCTTTCCCCCAAGAAGAGTGGGGAGGCTGGACCATTGACAATCAAGTTCTCAGTAGCAGTACAGAAATTGGCACTATAAAGATTTCAGTCATGTGATGTGACCACTTAGACAATGTGGCACCTGACTATTGGTACACAAAGGTAAAGATTTCAGTCCTGTAATGTGGCCCCTTAAACAATATGGCACCTGACTATTGTTACACAAAGATAAAGATTCAGTCCTGCAATGTGACCACTTAAACAGCATGGCACCTGACTATTGTTACACAAAGATAAAGATTTCAGTCCTGTAATGTGACCCCTTAAAAAATATGGCACCTGACTATTGTTACACAAAGATAAAGATTTCAGTCCTGTGATGTCATCACTTAAACAGCATGGCACCTGACTATTGTTGCGCAAAGATAAATGGTTGACATCGATAATATGCCCCCAGTGTTGTATTCGAGTCTAACACTATTGCCTTCACAAGGCCAATCACAAGTAAAATTGGGGAACAATTAACAATGAGTGTTCCTTACTGATTTTGAATTGATCATTTTCAGTTTTTCAATTTAAAAAGTTGTGGAGAATTATTCTGTATGTCTTGTGTGGGGTAGTAGTGACCTTGATGGCCAAGTGGAAGTGTTTGTAGATGCCACTTGGGGGGACAGTCTGTGATGATGACTGGGATTTGAATGACTTGTGTCGTGTGTCATCAGTTGGGCCTGGGTACTGCTGTCTCTGCTCCAAGAGAGGCTGAATTTGGCAGAGGCAGTGGCCCCATAGTATACGATGATGTGGGATGTCTGGGTTATGAAAACAAGTTATATTTGTGCTTCATCAACTCACAGCTATTGTCATCTACCATAAAAAGCATTCAGATCATTAGCCAACACTTCACGTTTCCTGTTGACATTTTGCCCTCCCCATTTGTTTTAGTTGGACAAATACCAAATTTAGTCGAAAAATGATCAATATCCAGCCATAATGTTATGCTTTAGACAGGGAGTAGTAATACCATCTAGCCAGACTCTCCAGACCAAATATGCTGTTCAGTGTATATACATGTATAGAATTTTTCCTGACAAAAGTGGAGTGAACCTTTCAAAATCTTGAAATAATTTATATAATGAAAATAAGGTAGCTTTATGCAAAAATAAACTACATGTATAAGCACCTTTAATGCACACATTGATACCTAAGACTTGGATTATTTCAGGGAATGGACACAAACCTTCTTATCTTATAACAAGTTTTCTCTGCTTCCACCCCAGCCCCAAGTACCATACGTCTTGTGGATGGTAGCAGTGCCCTTGAAGGCCGAGTGGAGGTGTTAGTAGACAGCATTTGGGGGACAGTCTGTGATGATGACTGGGATCTTAATGATGCTCGTGTTGTGTGTCTTCAGTTGGGCTATTCAAGAGCTCTCTCAGCACCTGGGTCTGCGCAGTTTGGCCGTGGAACCATCCCAATCGTTCTAGATGATGTAAATTGCAAAGGATCAGAAAAGCAGTTGCAAGATTGTCCTGCAAGNTAGTGGTAACAACTGTAACCATGGTGAAGATGCTGGGGTCGTTTGTGCAAGTGCATGTAAGTTATAGAGAAAATTTTTAACATTTACTTGAATGATATACAGTGCATTTATTAAGTTGTTATGTTTCGATTGATTGATTGATTGGTTGGTTGATTGATTGATTGATTGACTGACTGACTGACTGACTGACTGACTGGTTGGTTGGTTGGTTGATTGATTGATTGATTGATTGATTGATTGATTGATTGATTGATTGATTGATTGATTGATTGATTGATTGATTGATTGATTGATTGATTGATTGATTGATTGATTGATTGATCAGTTGGTTGGTTGGTCTATCGATCAATTGATTTTTTCATATTGTCTTGACTCTAAATTGGCAATATTTTCAATCACAACTTTCTTCATTTCATGTTTGGCTACATTTTGTTCTTTGCTTACTCATAGCTGCTGGTGATATTCGTCTCATTGGCGGTAGCAGTGCTCTAGAGGGCCGAGTAGAGGTCTTTGTAAATGGTGCTTGGGGAACTGTCTGTGATGATGGTTGGGATCTAGCCGATGCTTCAGTGGCATGTCGTCAGTTGGGTTATAATCATTCCCTATCAGCACTTGGTTCAGCCCATTTTGGCCAAGGAACAGGTGCTATTGTTCTGGATGGTGTTGACTGCACAGGACGAGAGAGCAGGTTGCAAGACTGTGCATCATCATCCTATCACAACTGTGGCCATGGGGAAGATGCTGGCATCGTCTGTTCAGGTATTTTTTGTTTTGTTTTGAATATAATTTCTAATTAACTGACTGTAATGTACTGTATAGGAAACAGACAATCACTAAAGTAAAGAAAATATTTGACAGGAATACTTCCAGTATTCAACAAAGTTTGATGCTGGAAAAGCTGTCACACTAAAGTTTCTGCCCAGAATGACATTACAGTCATGATTATGAATATGACATTGTTTAGAAACCACTTAAGCACTCCGTGTACTCATGCATTGTCTTGCCCCACTTGCTCTTCTAATGCCAGTGGGGTTGGCAGGCTCACTATTCATACTCCTGGTGCTTTAAGAATATAAAGAAATCATGTACTTCATGCTGATTCTCTTGCCACATGTCTGTTTTATTCAGGTGGGCTTGATACATCTGCTGTACGGCTTGCAGGAGACAATAGCAATATGCATGGCCGAGTGGAGGTGTTTATCAATGGCGTCTGGGGAACAGTTTGTGATGACGACTGGGATTTGAATGATGCAAGAGTTGTATGTCGGCAACTAGGCTTTGTGGATGCACTTTCTGCTGTTGGATCTGCAGAATTCGGGCAGGGCAGTGGAGATATATTTTTAGATAACCTGGCATGTGATGGGACAGAGAGAACATTGTTGGATTGCCCACGGGCGGCCACACCTAACTGTGGACACAGTGAAGATGCTGGTGTCATTTGTCTAACAGCAACAGGTAGGCTAAACAAGTGTTCTGAAACTTTTGTGCATTCATTCGGCTTGAATTTGTTTTGTTCTATTTTGTTTTGTGCATGACTTTTTTTGCTTATTTAATCCCAGGACAAAAAGCTATTCGGCTGGTTGGTGGTAGCAGTGCTCTTGAGGGACGAGTAGAGGTGTATTCTGGAAATCTTTGGGGTACTATCTGTGACGATGACTGGGATTTAGCTGATGCTACCGTGGTTTGTCGTCAGCTGGGTTATGGAGAGGCTCTCTCAGCTCCTGGTGGTGCAACATTTGGTGAAGGAACTGGTTTAATAGCCATGGACGAAATGGATTGTAAAGGAACAGAAGACAATCTGTCGGATTGTGCGTATCAAGCTATGGAAGATTGCCAACATTCTGAAGATGCAGGTGTGTCCTGTAGTGGAATGCAACCAGGTAACAAGCTTCACCTTATTGGCTCTCTATTTTGAAATGTCCATTAGCTTTTCTTTCAAGAACAAAGTTTTCAGAAATGGCTACCTCACAGACCATCAATCATGAGAGTACTGAAAAATGTTCTTGTTCCTGTGCAACTTATTTGCATCAAATGCAAACAATTTCTATGCACGGTGGTATGACTTGGAATAGTTTTCAAGTGCACGTATTGAAACGTAGCAAAATGAAATGTTTATTTTCTGTTCATAATTCTGTGTTAATTGTTTGTGTTTGTCAACAGCGTATGAATTTGGTCAAGTCCGTTTGGTAGATGGGAGCTCAGAATATGAGGGCTATGTGGAGGTTTATTACAACCAGCAGTGGGGTACTGTCTGCAATAACGAATGGGATCAAGTCGATGCAGATGTCGTGTGTGAGGAGCTGGGATTTGATTTTGCCATCTCTACCTCTGAGAGTATGACAGATTTTCCAATTTCCGAGTACAGTAAAGTGTACACTAACTAGTGGACAAAAAAGTTGAGGGTTTATCCTAAAATGTTTCCCCCCCCCCAAATAAGAAATGACTTCTTTTGAGCCTGAGGTAAAATTGTTTGAAGTTGATTTCTTGAAAGTAACGAAAATGCCTTTAAGGTGATACCCAAAGGTGATATAAGACATTCTTGAATTTTTTCTAGGCTTGTAGTTTTTCCACATTTTCAAATTATCAGCACTTCCAAATGCTGTTTTTAAATAAAGCATAAACACATGAGAAAAACTGCTGCAGGCTTGACCAGGTTTGATCAACAAATATATACAAAATGAAGCCTGGGTACCAGACAAAATCAACCACTTGGTTCAAATGTTTGCATGTTGTTGAATATTTTCATAAGTTGCCAAGTGGAGTTGTGAAAAAATATAACTAGCACTGCTGAACTTCAAATAAAATTGCATTTTAAACACAGACTTGATAGGCCAATAAAACTTATTGTGGGGTTGTGAAATTCATTCTGAGGAATACATGTAGCATAGTGACATGATCTTGTCTTGAACATTGGAGTGTGTTCTCCAGATGGGACATTAACCCTCCTATGCTAAGATGCATTCTTGACACAGTTGTCATATCAGTCAAAATCAGTCAAATTTTCCATACATGTCTGTGTACGGGGGGAAATTTTTGGAAGGCATTTTTGACTGTTTTTGACGGTTATAACAGTCGGAGGGTTAAAGAAGGATGTTGTTTGATAGAGTTGTCAGAGCCAGGAAGTTAGGAAGTGGCCAGTGTTGTAGGTCTTGAGACCTGGTTTTGGTCTTTTTTTGCAGTTTTGGTCTCGCCCTCTCAAAGTCTTGGTCCGCAAGATGGCGAAAACTTCACCGTGAATAGACATAAAACGTTGTAATCGCATATGCGCCATTTGAGCAAGCGATGCGTGTGCGCAATGCACAGGTGCAGGCACCGTGGCAGGCACGTGCACGTGGTGAGCGTGCGCCAAAGCATTACCGTAAACTGCGCAGGCATATCGCTTGCTCAAATGACGCCCATGGTAATTACACCCTTTGGGCCGAGTTATCCATCTTGCGCCTTTGGCGCTATACGCTCTTTGGTCGAGACCATAACAAAATGCGCATCTAGCTACCACGCATGCACGCGGTTGCAAAAGGCAAAATTACCTCTGCTCGAGTCAAATCTTCAACCACTGATATAAATGGAACACAGAAGTGTTCAGATTTTTTGCAATAAACAATGAAATCGAGGCTGGAATGAAGACTAGTCAATGCAGCATGATGCAACCTTATCCCAAGTTGTTACTTTATTTCCAATCCAGAGTAGCCATGCTGCTTGACACCATGGAGATGAGGGTGTGAGTAGCGGAATTCGCACTCTAGACTGGTTCCCGTTCCCTAAATAGTCTCCTGTTGAACGTAGGGCCAGGACGGGAACCAGTTTGTGTGCGTTCGCATGCTATGAATTGTGTGCACGTGTGAAAGTGCTTTCATTCCGTCTTGTATGTGGCATGTGCTGTTTTAGTAGTTTAGTTACGGTACATGTTGCAACATTGTCAGCTTCTGAAACCTCCAATCAGAAAAACATCAAGGCCCTACGATGACCTGTGTGTGTTTATGCTAATAGTTTCATTTTATTTCTTTTGTACTTTATTGTACTGCCATATGTTTGTCCCTATTTACCTTTTCGTAAAAACTAAATGTTGGTTTATGGCTGGTCTCGGTCTCGACCTGCAAAAGTCTCGGTCTCGAAGTCCTGGTCTTGGTCTTGAAGGAGTAGGTCTTGGTCTTGTGTGCCTTTGTCTCGGTCTCGGTCATCAAGGTCTCTGATACAACACTAGAAGTGGCCTATGTTAATAAACGTACCAAATATGCAGAATATAGATGGAATTGCTTACATATCACTGCCTAAAATGTTGCTTAATTCATGGGTCTAGGTCTGAGGAGTGATGTCACATTTGTTCAGCATGTGTCCTGTTTAGGTGCTCTTTGAATTTTTTTTTTTACTGTTTTGAGTGCTTGAGTGATGGAATGGCAGACTTGCAAAAATACCATGGAAACAAGTCCTGCAGTTGTACAATTTCAACTGGAGGAAGTTCAGAGACAAGACTGCACACATTTCGTGCTCTATCAGATGTACTCTTACCTTGTTTGTGTCCACTTGCGTTGATGATTATTTGGACTGGCTCTTCCTTCCTTCCTGGTTCCTTCCTTATTTGTTTATTTTTGGTTGGTGACATAGCATTAACCTAGAGTTTCTTTTGTCGGTTTAGGTATGGATTACGGCAGGTATACTTATGGACCCATCTGGCTTTCCAATGTGCGCTGTTACGGGACCGAAGACAGACTAGCTAATTGTTACCATAGAAAGTGGGATAATAATTATTGTTCACATTCTCAAGATGTGTGGGTGAAATGCAACGGTACTCCAAGTACATGTAAGAGCAAAATTAAAGCATTACATGACCTGACAATTTGCAGTCAAAGAGAGAAGATCCCTAGAATCATTTGAGACACCTGTATATGTTCCCATGTCTATATTTTTAAGTTGTTTTTGGCATACAGAGTTCTACCTTAAGCTGGTGGTTCTGTATTTTCAGAAAAACAGATAGCTTTACTGTTTTATTACCCTACCAGATGAAACATTCCAGGTTAATTCTCACTTTAACCTTTCAGAAGTGGATTTTGTTAGACTTCAGGTTTTGGAACCTTGAACCTTTGCAAAACCTTTGGCAGAATTTTCATTAGCTGTAGCTGTGTGAGTCTCTTTTCTCTGTGTGTGTTTAATTTGTCCATTGGCTTCATGGAAACTGAGCAAAAAATTAAAGTGCAAGCTCAGTGTCCAAAATCTTTCAATGATTTTAATCAAAGGTTCATAAAAAATCTCTAAACTGCAAAGTGGTCGCCTACAAAGACATGCCAAGGTCTTCAGCTGTCAGGAAATAGCCTGGATTTGGAAAACATTTAAAAGGCGCTCTTGAAAAAAAATTAAACATGAAGACAGAGTGTGAAGGGACGCAAAACCGCCATCACAAATTGCTGTTAACTTTTGAACAGGTTTCTGTACAGACTATGATTTCATCGTGTCCATGGCTCTCTTAATTATCACAAAAATGTTCAGTCAGACTTGCTTTTGTTTTTCTTTTATTCCAGCACTGTCGGTTGCAGCCATTATTGGGATTGCAGTGGGATCGTTTGTGGGTTTGATTCTTTGCATCTTCTGCAGTTATTGGTGTTGCTGTTCATCAAAAAACACCACGACTGCAAGTTCAGCGGTAGGTTTCTGTGGACTTCATAGGCAAAATGCTAGAAAATGGATCCATTAAACATTTGATATCACTGTATTCAATCTGAAAAAAAATTAGGGTTATTTTGTGCTACTTTGGTGTCAGGATGAGAACAAAAGTTGAAATATTTCCATTATCTGAAAGTCTTGTTACCATTAAAGAGGATGATTGTTTTTGGAAAGAATTCCAAAATTTCTAACCAGAAGATTTTTTTCTTAATTTTCTTTGGATTATAAATACTGCATATATATGCAAATGAACCTAACACTATACTTAAAAGAACTTAAAATAAATTTGACACCAACGTTTGTGGCAGGCCTCAAGGACTACCTATTCTCAAGTCCCAGCCAATGAAGCCAACACAGCCACTCCAGTCATCCACTATCATCCTGCTCAACAGTCTGTCAGTGTAGCGCCCTCTATGCCAGCACAACCATCAGCCCCTACATGGCCAGCTAATGAGGTTCCACCCCCATCCTATGAGATGGTGGTAGCGCAGCCCACAATGTTCCCGCAGGTACCCACCAAAGGGTATGAAGCTGAGACAACACAGCAAGTAGGTCCTTACAACCCCGCCTACCCACCAGCACAGCCCCCGCCCGCTTGCAACCATGAACCATCTAACTTGGGAACTGATGCACCCAGGGCTGCACCTCAGGCCCAAGCACTGTCCAATCCAACATATGAATTACTCTCTGATTAATAACCTTTGACCTCGCAACTCAGTAGGTCTCACACACACAGTCTACCTAATTGAAAATTGACTGAAAAGGGTGCAACGTCAATTCAAGAAGATGCTGGATTACAATGCAACAATGCAAATGCTCGAGAAGGTGATAATGGAAAAAGGCTGCCAAAAGGAATAACAAAGAAGTCATTATTGTAAGTCATTAGATTCTTCAACTTGGGCTTGTTAATGTGAAGAACAACATGTACTGAAGTTAAAATCCTAAATTTGCTTATTCAACCACTTCATGTCGATGTTCTGCGATACGATGGATGTTTAAACACAGTCTGGTACAAGTCAGTGCAATATTGAAGGTTTTTTTCCTGCAATGATATTCACTGTGGGACATGAATATTCATATTAACATTTGCATAAAACCCCTAAAGAAACCAAACACCTTTTAAAAATAGCAACACGAGGGTGGAAAGTCAGTTATCGTAAATGTGTTGCGTGTGGCACAATGAAGCAATGTATATGTTGACATGTGCCGCTCTCTTCACCCTGACCATGACTAAGACCTGCAGATTATCAAGCCCCTGGTTGTGCACCCAGCTGTAATGCTGGAATATGGGTATGCTTTGATCACCATCTCTGTTGCGATCGCCGTTGCTGTCGTATAAAACTCTCATGCCATTGTCTCTTCTCATCTGCTCTTCAATATTGTCAATACTTTTCTACAGAATTTTGGTGTAAATAATGTTTTGAAATTCAACTAGTTGACAAACCCCAGAGCTTTATGAATCCCAGGTTTCTCTAGTAAAGCAGTTTGTTATAAATCCCAGCTTCCTCTGTCCTCCCCCCCAAAAAAAAGCTCACAAAAACAAAGGTTAGTAAAGGACATCAAAATTTACTGTCCAGTTTGAAGTTCAAGGGTTTCAGTTTGTCAAAGTGTTTTAATTTATCTTTCAATAAAATATACATGTATTATACATATAACGTTCTAGTGTAACTTTGACCATGATATAACAAACCAATTGTTGCCTGCTGTGTTGGGGTCCCTGGGTTTTGTACACCTTTGGGGGTAAATGGCATCCTCAGTTCCACCTCGAGTGTCATTTGCCCCCTCGGGTGTACAAAACACCCGAGACACCTGCACCACAGGCAACAATTGTTAAAAAAAGTATGTATGACAGGGTAGATGGTAGAATATTGAATTGATTCATGAAACACCTGCTTGACAAGTATAAAGTGAAATAATGACTACATTGCATTTCTGTATGATATATTTGGAAACGTGCATATACTCTTAAATTATAATAGTGGAGTATTTTATGTCAGTGGAATTTTTTAATAATCTTAAATACTTGTACAGTTTGTCAGCTTTTGGCAATAGAAAGTGCAAATTTCTATATTGCATGTTTGTGGCAAGTGTAATCTTGTCAGTGAGTAAAGTACTATTTGCAGCTGTTAGTTATTGATAATCCTGGTAACATCAGATTAATTACCACTTGTCAAGTAAAGTTTGCAATTTAATCTTTTTGAGCCAGATCACTGGAGCCGTAATAACCTGTTGAAAATTGTTTAAGTTTGTGCAAGAATGATAGACGATCTAAAATGATGAACTTTGCTGACACTTCATCTTTTATGTCTGAACTCAGGGCCAGGTGTCACATTAGGCACTGTGCCTGCAGGCTAAGAATATTCATAGGTCTATGAAAATGCCACCAATTTGCCAGAAAACACTCCTATAGGCCTATTAACAGGGGTTTTAGCTTCCTCTTTTGGTGGTGGGAAGGGACGCAAGGAGGAATAGCAACTCTGTGAAATTGGTGAGAGTTGGACAAGCGAAGGACCTACAGAACACTTATCCAGCTTTGTCTGAAATGTGTACGTTTTCCACTGTTTTTGTAAAATATTTATGTCCTATAATTGTAACATATATGGCCACAGAAGCAGATTTGAGTAATAAGGCAGCTTGTTAGAGTTTCAGTAGAATCCTGTAGACAACTCAGATTTCATTTTCAATTATTATACATTGTAGAATAAAATTGTATCCATTTTTGATGGCAAGTAAAGAATGACAGGAATTGTGAACGAGATTGCAGTAAAATATTACAGATTGTTTTCGACTTTATAAATATACAACACTAGAAGCAAACTTAAGCCGTGTCTGAATTATTTGACTGAGGCTTGAAATTACACACGTAGATGGAGCCGCGACTGTAGACTTTTTAGCCACAGCCATAATTTGCACAGTCTTACATTACCAGAAAGCTGACACTTCATACTCATTCAAGTAACTTTCTCTCAATCAGAATACTTGAATTGAGGTTGGAATCCATATGGAATCTGTACTTCCTTCAATCATGGATACTTCTCTGACTTGATTATGCAACATGACTCATGTTTTGTAAAAACCACCGAGATGATTCTTTATTACAATATGAAATGATTGTTTTTTTAAATAAATAAATGTATTGATAGAGATTTTACTATTGTTATTGCCTTAAAATAAATAAAGTGATTTAAATCTAATCAAAAAGTCTTCGTTTATGTGACCAAGGAATGCGGATGTGATAATAAATTAGCAGGAGTTGTTTTTCAATATTTTCTCAAGAAACCTATTGAGAGGCGAGGGCGAGGTTTTGGAAGTAATGCCTTGTGAATGCCCGACGTACCTCTCAATAAAAACGTAATTATTTGGCTGAACCACTGACATCTAACATGCAAATGAACTATAATCATTGCACACGTTTTCAATGACTTTATTTTTGACGAAAAATATTATACTTCGTACAAACAAAAATTGGCAGCTAACTGGCAGACGCATAGAGAAAAAAAGAATCTTTGGTTTATCCAGCCAACCGACCACAAGATTGTTGCTTGAGGTCTAGAATAGCGTACTCATCCTTTAAACACGATACTGTAGCGTGTCCCGCTGCACAGGGTTCGACGCTGTAAGAACGACACGCTGGTGCAACTCACTGTTCTGGTCACAAAAATCTCTGCTTTATTCTGTCGCAATCTGACAGGACCACAATGTCCTCTTCCGACAATCCTTTTCACAACATGGCGCCTG